ATATACATTTACTAGCAACTTTATATCATTTTTTAAGACTAATCTATTGACATAATGTCCAGTGTCAGTTGCTGTTTTTTTACTTTGCGAAATATCAATACCAAATGCCACGAAATATTTTGTACATTTTTTTTCTGGCAGGAAGACACCTAGGGAGCTTCTGGAGGGCACGAGGGGACGCTCGTGGGGCCCACTAGTCACCAGGGCGCGCCAGGGGCCTCCCACGCGTCCTGGTGAGTAGTGGGGCCCACGGGCACCCCCTTGACCTACCTCCGCCTCTATAAATACTCTAGAATCGCAAAAACCTTAGGGAGCCATCGCGGCCGGCCGTAGACTAGCATAATGTATTCGTGTCGTGGGAATGGAGCTCCGCGTGACCGTACGTGCATATAGTTTTAGCTTTTTAGTTGAAAATATGTTCAAAATGTAACCGTTTTCATCCGGTTTATATGAAATCCATCATGTTTGTATGAAATTCGGCCGTGTTTGCATAAATTTCATCCAGTTTGTTGAAAAAGAGTTTGAAATGTATGCGGCTAGCATTGGATGTCGACCTTCCGCATCCATGTCCGTGGACTGGCTCCCCCCAGTCTGCAGACGGATGCGGAAGGATTTTTGTTGGTTGCTGTTGGAGATGCCCTAAGAAAAACTTATATGCCTTGTATTTTAGACGGGCTTCCATTTTACAATGGATCTAGCGTGACTTCTCATGGGCATGAAAATTACCAGGGAACCGGGTATCACCTGACGTGGGTGTGGTATTTATTCATCAATAGATGCAGTTTATGGTTCGATTTGTTGCAAGGGGTAAATATAAATTGCACTCAAATTTATCTAAGTTCAAAACCATATCATACAAGACCACAACTACCTAACTATAACATACAAATTTATTTAGAATTCCCTCTAAATCTTAACATATCTATGTTGAGAACAAACATAGCCTGATTTTTTTTACTTTCATCTGTTTAGTTTTCTCAGTTTTCAGATGTTCATATTTTAGCTCTTTTTTTACCAGAAACAGTAGGAGTACCTCCCACTGTGTATATATTAAAAAAGGTTAAAAATACTGTACATGGTATTTACAATCCATCCCCCTTTGGGGGAGGCATGAGAAAGTTAAGTTATAAGGAGGCTAGGATGAGTGAGATGGATTGCTTTTGTTCTTCCCTAACCCTATGAATGAGAAGGGAGAAGTCAGCCTTAAGCTTGTCCAGCCAGGATGTTTTCGAGGGTGTGACCCCCCTGAAATGCTTGTTGTTGTGTTCCTTCCATATACTCCAAGCGGCCAACAAAAATAGCTCCATAAAGAGTGGCCGATTCCAGTCTTCCTTTGCCTTAGAAACGTTTTGTAATCTTGAGTTACTAGGGTGCCAAGAGAGGCCAAGGTGGGACCAGTAGTCAGAGCTGAAATGGCAGTCGAAGAATAGTTGTTCCAATCTTTCTTCAATTTGCAGGCCACAGAGAATGCAATCATGAACGTTGCGGCCATTTCCCAAGTTTGCCATCAAGATACCTCTGTATGTTGGCATTAACTTGGCCACATCCCTCCACCAGAATGATCCGCAGGGATCAGCAGCATATGGGATTTGATCCGTGTAATATGTCTCCCAACTTAGTTGCACCCAAGGTGTGTCCCAGCCATTGTAAAATTTGTGTAGATATTTTAACAACAAATCATTTCCTTGAATGCGGAGATTGATTACGCCCAGACCTCCACTAGCCTTGGGCACACTGATACATCTCCAACGTATCTATAATTTTTAATTGCTCCATGCTATTATATTACCTATTTTGGATGTTAATGGGCTTTATTTTATACCTTTATATCATTTTTGGGACTAACCTATTAACCGGAGGCCCAACCCAAATTGTTGTTCTTTTTGCCTATTTCAATGTTTCGCAGAAAAGAAATATCAAACGAAGTCCAAACGGAATGAAACCTTCGGGAACGTGATTTTCTCAACAAACGTGATCCAGGAGACTTGGAGTGGGCGTCAAGAAACAATCGAGGAGGCCACGAGGCAGGAGGCGCCTACCCCCCTGGGCGCGCCCCCCACCCTCGTGGGCCCCTCGTTGCTCCATCGACCTACTTCTTCCTCCTATATAAGTCCACGTACCCCGCAAACATCGAGGAGCACCACGAAAACCTAATTCCACTGCCGCAACCTTCTGTACCCGAGAGATCCCATCTTGGGGCCTTTTTCGGAGCTCTGTCGGAGGGGGCATTGATCACGGAGGGCCTCTACATCAACTCCATGGCCTCTCCGGTGATGTGTGAGTAGTTTACTTCAGACCTTCGGGTCCATAGCTAGTAGCTAGATGGCTTCTTCTCTCTCTTTGGATCTTAATATAAAGTTCTCCTCGATTCTCTTGGAGATCTATTCGATGTAATCTTCTTTTGCGGTGTGTTTGTCGAGATCCGATGAATTGTGGGTTTACGATCCAGATTATCTATGAACAACATTTGATTCTTCTCTGAATTCTTTTATGTATGATTGGTTTATCTTTGCAAGTCTCTTAGAATTATCAGTTTGGTTTGGCCTACTAGATTGATCTTTCTTGCAATGGGAGAAGTTCTTAGCTTTGGGTTCAATCTTACGGTGCTCGATTCCAGTGACAGTAGGGGAAATGACACATATTGTATTGTTGCCATCGAGGATAAAAAGATGGGGTTTATATCATATTGCATGAGTTTATCCCTCTACATCATGTCATCTTGCTTAAGGCGTTACTTTGTTCTTATGAACTTAATACTCTAGATGCATGCTGGATAGCGGTCGATGTGTGGAGTAATAGTAGTAGATGCAGGATCGTTTCGGTCTACTTGTCGCGGGCGTGATGCCTATATACATGATCATGCCTAGATATTGTCATAATTATTCGCTTTTCTATCAATTGCTCGACAGTAATTTGTTCACCCACCGTAATACTTATGCTATCTTGAGAGAAGCCACTAGTGAAACCTATGGCCCCTGGGTCTATTTTCCATCATACAAGTTTCCAATCTATTTTATTTTGCAATCTTTAGTTTCAATCTTTATCATAAAAATACCAAAAATATTTATCTTATTATTATTATTATCTCTATCAGATCTCACTCTTGCAAGTGGCCGTGAAGGGATTGACAACCCCTTTATAGTGTTGGTTGCGAGGTTCTTATTTGTTTGTGTAGGTACGAGGTGAGTCGCGCGTGGTCTCCTACTGGATTGATACCTTAGTTCTCAAAAACTGAGAACGCTGCTTTACTGCATCATCCTTTCTCTTCAAGAGAAAACCAACGCACTGCTCAAGAGGTAGCAAGAAGGATTTCTGGCATCGTTTCCGGGGAGATCTATGCCAAGTCAAGATATACCAAGTACCCAACACAACTCTTATCCTTCGCATTACATTATTTGCCATTTGTCTCTCATTTTCCTCTCCCCCACTTCACCCTTGCCGTTTTATTCGCCCTCTTTTTCTGTTCCCCTTCTCTTTTTCTATTTGCCTCTTTGCATGTTTCTTGTTTGCTTGTGTGTTGGATTGCTCGCTTGTCACGATGGCTCAAGATAATATTAAATTGTGTGAATTTGCCAATACCAACAATAATGATTTTATTAGCACTCCGATTGCTCCTCTTACCGATGCTGAATCTTGTGAAATTAATACTGCTTTACTGAATCTTGTCATGAAAAATCCGTTTTCTGGCCTTCCTAGTGAAGTTGCCGCTACCCATTTAAACAACTTTGTTGATTTGTGTGATATGCAAAAGAAGAAAGATGTGGATAATGATATTGTTAAACTTAAGCTATTTCCATTTTTGCTTAGAGATCGTGCTAAAACTTGGTTTTCGTCTTTGCCTAAAAATAGTATTGATTCATGGAATAAGTGCAAAGATGCTTTTATCTCTAAGTATTTTCCTCCCGCTAAGATTATCTCTCTTAGAAACGATATTATGAATTTTAAGCAACTTGATCATGAACATTTTGCACAATCTTGGGAGAGGATGAAAGTAATGATACGTAATTGCCCTACACATGGTTTGAATTTATGGATGATTATACATAATTTTTATGCCGGATTGAATTTTGCTTCTAGAAATCTTTTAGATTCGGCCGCGGGAGGCACTTTTATGGAAATCACTTTAGGAGAAGCTACCAAACTCCTAGATAATATTATGGTTAATTATTCTCAATGGCACACTAAAAGATCTACTAGTAAAAAGTGCATGCAATTGAAGAGATTAATGTTTTGAGTGGAAAGATGGATGGACTTATGAAATTCTTTGCTAATAAGAGTGCTCCTACTGATCCTAATGATATGCCTTTGTCTACTTTGATTGAGAATAATAATGAATCTATGGATGCAAATTTTAACTTTTGAAACAAAATCTGTAATTATATTGAGATCAAAGTTTTAAATAATGGGATATGAGGAATAGTGGCAGCCTCACTAGCGTACTAAATGGCGCTATAGCGCGCTAAAGCCGCTAAGTTGTACACGACGTCGTTAGCGTGATGTCCCACTAAACACTATAGCACTGATATAGCATGTCATTTAAAACTTTGATGGATTGAGATAGATTTTCAATATCTGCTTTGGTATTATATACGAATTCAAGTAAATTGATGCTATGTTATACTCATTGAGAAAAGGATAAATTCATACTCTCACATGTTATACTCATTCAATCTATGCTATCATCTCCTTCACAGAACACAGTTCTGCAGTAAACACCACGAAGAGCGGTGTCAGTGTGGTATTCAAGATCGCACTTCCAGTTATAACATTCCTGCTGACACTCACATGCATATATCTCGTCTGCATATGCAAGCAAAAAGGTAGAACAAGGGACTCCAGTTTACTCTGATATGATCTTTCATGTAAAAGTGTCGAGTATTGATAGTACTGATATTTCTGCAGGGATACAAGTAAACAAGGAAACCCTGAAAAAACCGGCCCTGAAACACCTGAGCACTTCGCAAGAAGTTTGGGATCAAAATTTAGAATTCCAGTCTATTATGTTCGAAGACATTGCTGCTGCAACAAACAGTTTCCATGACACAAACGTACTTGGGAAAGGAGGTTTTGGCAAAGTCTATAAGGTTTTAAAACTTTGACTTTGTCAATTAATTACAACATTGGAAAATCTGTTTCAATAATTATGAAATCACACATGGAGTACTAGAAGATGGAAAGGAAGTTGCTGTTAAAAGGCTTAGCAAGGGTTCTGATCAGGGGATAAAGCATTTTAGAAATGAAGTGGTTCTTATTGCCAAATTGCAGCACAAGAATCTAGTTAGACTTCTTAGCTGTTGTATTCATGAGGATGAGAAGTTGCTTATTTATGAATACTTACCCAACAAAAGCCTGGACCAGTTTCTTTTTGGTATGTTCTAAACTTCTAATCCCATACTATCGAAAGTAATCTCGAATTGACCAAGCAAACTTACTTGTCTGAACGGCTTATGCCTTGCACTCATGTAAATGCATGTCCTGTTCTTGGCAGATATTGCAAGGAAGTTTATGCTTGATTGGCCAAAGAGGTTCAACATAATCAAAGGGGTAGCTAGAGGACTTATGTATCTCCACCAAGATTCGAGAACGACTATAATCCATAGAGACCTCAAGCCAAGCAACATCCTGCTAGACGTGGAGATGAACCCAAAAATATCAGATTTTGGAATGGCAAGGATCTTTGGGGGCAACGAACAACAAGAAAGTACCAGACGAGTTGTTGGCACGTAGTAAGTACTTCTTCAACTAGTCCTTGGTCTGAAAATTTAATTTATAAGCCTGAAATAGCTCAAAATTTTCAAACAGCGGGTACATGTCTCCTGAGTATGCGATGGAGGGCATTTTTTCCGTCAAGTCGGACACCTACAGCTTTGGTATTTTGCTACTAGAGATTGTAAGTGGATTAAAGATCAGTTCACCACATCATCTTGTGATGGACTTTTCAAATCTCATATCATTTGTAAGTGTCACATACTGTGTTATGAAAAATGCTTCAGATTCTAATAACTCAACAAGAAATGCAGTATTAGCAAATATAAATTACAAATTTTGCCATTATGTTTTAGGCATGGAACTTGTGGGCAGATGGCAAAGTGGAGGATTTCGTGGACCCAGCCGTCACGGAGAGCTACTCGCTTGATGAAGTGTCCAAGTGCATCCATGTTGGGCTCTTGTGTGTCCAGGACAGCTCCGGTGCTAGGCCTCACATGTCATCCGTTGTGTCCATGCTCGACAGTGAAGCCATGCCTCGTGCAGCGCCGAGGCAACCTATGTATTTCGCGCAGATAAATTACGAAACCAGTGATGCGACAGAAGACCTGAAAAACTCTGCCAATGGCGTGAGCCTTACGGCACTAGAAGGACGATAACTGGCTCATGTTTTTTTCAGATTTATTTATTTATTATTGTGAATTACATGTTTTTTCAGGAGCATATGCTCCCTGGAGCCAAAACTTTCCAATATTTCATGTTTTTTGGCACTCGAGTCCTATCTGCCGCTCTTTACGGGAGCCCCTATTCCTCGCATTCAGCGACTATAACTCCCGACTCGGGCAACCAATATGGGTCAGCCCACGCGCGAGCGAGGTCACAGTCTGTTTTTCTGTCTTTTTTTGACGTTTTACGTTTTCTGTTTTGTTTTTTATTTTATTTTTGCAATTTCGTTTATACTCTCAAATATTTTATTTAAATATATATTGCAAAAAACTCACAAAACATTTTAAAAATGTTGGTGTCGGTGTACTAGAGTAGGGGTATCCTAGTATCCCGAACTTGTGCACGGGCAGTCGCAGCATCCCGCGGCAAGGCTTACCGGGTGACCGCCAAGGTCCTCCGTGGTTCCTTTGGAGCCATTCAAGAACAAAGTATCCAAACCGAGACCCCGGCAAGAGGAGCTTGCCGGGAAGGCCAACCAAGGCATGGCGTTTAAGGAGACAAGACCCCGGCAAGAGGAGCTTGCCGGGAAGGCCACCTAAGGCATCTCAAGGAACTTGCCGCGGCGCGCCTCGCGTCCCGGCAAGGCCCGGTGAGCGACAAGCTCCCGGACGCGACAAGATAATGACCGCGGCAAGGCGCTTGCCACGGCAAGCCACCACTTCGTGCGCGCGCTCCAGCACATCCACCAATGTGTCGCTCTGGGCCCCTTCCAGGCGTGCGTGGCGGGAGGCTATGCAGCCAGCGGTGCGCAGTGGCGAGCGGCGCTGACAAGATTGCCATCGTGGCGAGCAGTGGCGTCCCTGACGGTCCCTTTTGCACTATTTAGGCGACACAGACGGGCATTTAATGCCCTTGTCCCCTGCCGTCAGGGTTAGGTATGATACACTGTAGCAGGGAGCTGTACCTACCGCAGCACCTTTTCATTTTTACCCTTCGTCTCCGTTGCCACCTGTCGGTGACCCCTTGAGCATATAAAAGGAGGCCCGTGCGCAACGTAGAAAAAAAGCTAGTTCACAGAACACTCACGCTCGGTCTCGTTAGCTGCTGGTGTGTACTGTAGCACTCCACGCTCCCGAGCAAAAACTCAATACAAACCACAAAGCAGGAGTAGGGTTTTACGCATCCGTGCGGCCCGAACCTGGGTAAACCGTTCGTGTGCTTCGCCTCGATCCGCTCTTTGCACGACCTCCGCCCCCGCCGAACCAAAAGGGACTCGGTCCGCCGGTCCCATAGGTGTTCGTGGATTAGTCCCCCGACATCTTTGGCGCGCCAGGTAGGGGGCGTCGAGGTTGTGTGAACCAGATCCGGCGTTCACGCGAGCGACATCTTCATCATCTTCATCGACATGCCGCCGAAGAAGAAGGTTTCGGAAGCGGCTGCTCCGTCCGCGCCGAACCCACCACCGCCGGAGCAAACGGCTGATGGGGCAGACGCCGGCGGAAGAACGGGCGTCGACGAGGGAGCACACGGTGCTACCAGGTCCAAGGACAAGGCTGCGCTACCCATCGGCGGCGTAGCCGGCTCCCACAACGACCGGGTGCACTCCAAGACCTCGGCGTCCGTACATGCACCGCGCCCATCTCAGGAGGCGCGGGACCAGCAGCATCATGGTACTCACAGTACCATGTGTTTGCTGGACCAAGATCGAGCTGGTGGATCCCGGAGTGCTCAAGACCAGCATGCACGCCAACATGCTGGCACGAGCGAGGCACGGTCGCCTGGACGGGACACTGCTCCTTCTAAGATGGTTAGAAGTCCGAGCATATCCCGCTCCTCGCACCGTTCGCCACCGCCACCCGCCACTGCAGCTGAAGCTTTGGCGCGAGCTCAACTGCTTCTAGACTACCCTCCAGCAGCAGACAAGATCGACGATTGGAGGGCCACCATCCAGAGTCTCATCGGCTTTGCCAACGGCGACACTCAGCGGCAGCCGAGCACGTCGCAGCCGCAGCCAGTCAGCCAGGCACGAGCCGGTGGCGACAAGACCGGTGGGGGTGCAGCCTCTGTGCACTCTCCACCCCGAAGGCCAAGATCGCCGACTCGCCGGATCCACCTCGACAGCGACTCCACCGCATCATCAGATCCGCGAGCTCGTCGCGATCAGTGCCAAGTTCTTCAAGAACGACAACAAGAAGACGCTCGTACACGCATCGAGCGCCGAAGAGAAGCGCGACGTCAATCAGACCAGCGCGTTGGGCCCTCTATCGACATGCATGCGCCAGGGGAACCAGGCGACTTGCCGTACGCGGTAGGTTGCCCTGCGTTCACTCGTGAGCTGCGGCAAGTCCAGTGGCCCAGCATGAAGAATTTCAAGCCAGATGTACCAGAGAAGTACGACGGCAAGTCGCATCCGTCGGAGTTCCTCAGCATCTACACCATCGCGATGCATGCTGCCGGGGGACGGGACGACAAGATCCTTGCCAACTACTTCCCGCTGGTGCTCAAGCCCAACGTCAGGTCCTGGCTCATGCACTTGCCGGACAACTCCATATCCTCCTGGGCAGACCTTTGCCATCAGTTTGTCGGCGCCTTTACAGGCGGCCACAAACCTCATGGCCAAGAAAGTGACCTTCATTTGCTCACCTAGAAGGAAGGAGAGCCCCTGCGCAAGTACATTCAGAGATTCAGCCGTGTACAACACAACATCCCAGATGTCCACCCTGCCGCGGTCATCAGCGCGTTCTATCAGAACGTGCGTAACTGCAGGACGCGGGAGGAGATGGCGATGTGCAAAATCAGAGACGTCAGCGAGCTGTATGCCCTGGCCGACAAGTGTGCACGTGCTGAGGAAGGGAGGAAACTCCCCGGAGAGAAGATCAGAGTAGAAGGATCTGACAGTGAGGATGCTGCCCCAGCAAAGAAAAACCGGCGGCGGAACAGGAAGAAGAAAGGCAAAGATGTGCTAGTCATTGAGCAGTCCGGCAACGAAGGTGGCGCCAAGAAAGCCAATGTTGGTAGCTCCGGCAAGGAGGTTGCCGCATGCACCAACTGTCAGGCTGTGGCGATCGCCGACAAGCAGGACAACACCGACAAGCAGTACTGCAAGATCCACCGCACCAAGGGCCATGACCTCCAGAGCTGCAAGAAGGTCGAGCAGCTTGTCCAGCAGCAAAAAGCTGAATACGAGCGACGCGACAAGGAGAGGACCCAAGGTGGCGCTGGAGAATCCGGCAAGAAGAGCGCCGGCCGGGGAGGACGTCGCGGCAAGGCCAAGCAGCGGCAAGGAGACAGACCTCCCCGCGGCCGCGACAAGGATGAAGACAACGACGACGACGAAGACATGGATGATGTCGAGACCAGTGAGCAGGAGTTCCAGAAAGCCACAGAAGTCTTGTGCGTTGACGGTGGTGCTTCTCTGCATACTTCGCACCGCCAGCTCAAGCAGTGGGTGCGGGAAGTCAATGCAGCAGAACCACCCATCGAATCACGCAAGCTTCTGAAATGGTCCAGCACACCTATCATCTTTGATATTGAGGACCACCCTGATCGCATAACTACGGTCGGGTGTTTGCCGATGTTGGTTTCACCAACTATCCGCAACCTCAAGGTCACTAAGATGCTAGTTGACGGCGGGGCCGGCTTGAACCTGATCTCCTCCGCTGTGCTCCAAAAACTCCAGATCCCTGACAGCGAGCTTGAGGAGACCGGCACATTCCAAGGAATCAACCCGGGAAGGAGCAAGCCGAAGGGGAAGGTCACGTTGCCAGTAACGTTTGGCAGTGAGCTGAACTTCAGGACTGAGAGGGTCACTTTTGACGTCGCCGACATTCCATTGCCTTACAATGGGATACTTGGCCGTCCAGCACTCGCCAAGTTCATGGCAGCCTCTCACTACACATACAACATGCTGAAGATGCTAGGCCCGATAAGCGTCATATCTGTCCCTGGCGACAAGAAGAATGCTCTTATCTGCGCCGACAAGATCTACCGGGAAGCAGCAGCCGCAGCAGATCGCGAGTCACTTGCCGCTGAAGCTCCCAGGGGGAAGAAGACCAGGTCCGGCAAGAGTTCTGATGCCCACTCCGGCAAGCGCACCTCTTCGGAGTGCTGCGCTACCGTCGAGGATGCACCATCGAGCTCCACTGGCAAGTGTAAGAAGACAATGGCAGCTCCGCCAGAGACGAAGAAGGTGTCCTCCAAGGAGGACGGCACTGGTGGTACCTTCACCATCAGTGCCACTCTCGGCCCTAAATAGGAAAGCGCGCTCATTGCTTTCCTGCGGGCGAATGTCGATGTGTTTGCGTGGCAACCGTCTGACATCCCCGGTGTTCCCAGGAAAGTGATTGAGCACCACC